CACTTCAGTTTGGCCTATAACAAGTCCAGCAAAGCAAAATTTTGCAGCAATGATCTGTTCCTCAGACCACTGTGGATCATTATTGGCATCATCCTGAGAATAAAGTATAGAAGTACAATTAATTTAAATATAAGCTTTTTGAAGTTTTCAGATAAACTGAAATCCTTTTTTCCTTGAGCATGAATTACTCAGAAATATTCATTTTCTCTAAAGACTTAATTTTTATTTAAAATACCTTTTAATTCCAGCAATTATTTTTAATTTGTCTACTTTTAATAGCTACTTTAAAATTCAAAATATTTGGGTAACTTATTCTAGATCATGAAGTATTTGAATTTGTTCTATAGAAACTAATTTAAGCACAAGTTTATGATTTTTATTTTTCCTTTTCCTTTATCAGTCAACAGAAATGGTAAAAAGGCCAACACATTTTAGTCCACCTAATCTTCCAGGATGCAATTTTCATAATCTCGTGACCTTATTTTTGATAACCCTTTATAGAAGATTATATGTCTTTGGGGACATTATTTTATAATTCAAGAGACTTCATCTCAAGTAGAGATTAATGAAAAAATAAAATACTTTTATTGTAAGAAGTGTCTCAAATTTACATAAAATTTTTCTTTTACGGGTTCTTGATTTGTGTAATTAAAATCATAATACAAATGCTTTCAACTGTGCAGCTCAAATTAAAAACACAACACTGACATTGCTTCTGAAGTAGAACTATGCTGAACAGCATAAACTAAGATGGAAAGAGAAAGGCAGTTTCAATAGAGAAAACCAATACAAATTCATAACCACTGATTCCTACATCTGTTATTGTATGTTTTTGCTTATGAGACATTAGACTATAAAAAGATCCTTCATAATAGTCTTTATTTCAAAGTCTTCAACATTAAATTAAAAAATTTTTTGAACTGTTAACTTATTTCGTCTTCCTAGTAACTGCTAATTTTAATTTGTTCTTTTTGTTATCTTGGTCAAAAGATAAGTAGATTTACACAGATGTTTTCTTTTAAAAAGTTATCACTGCTAATGGAAGTGAATGTTATTGACATGTTTTTGAGTAACAAATGCAATATCAAAACCTTTAATAATGTTTAATTTTTTTGACTTGGTAATTATAAATTTGTAGTTATGTTATAGTAAGACACAGATGCATAAAATAATTACCTTGAAAAACATCTCCACTTTAGGTGGGTAAAACTTATATCCTTCCTTGACACCAGGATTTCTTTTGAGAAAAGAACCAGTTGCTATTCTTCTANTGATAACTGGGTACGCAGTGTTACCAGACATCACTGGTCCTAAACCATTGCTTCTGCCTGCCACTGCCACAAATACAGTAGGAATGCCATCCCCTAGGTAAATCACAAGTTTATAATTATGCTAAATAGTCAAAAGATATTTACAGATAGGTTAAAAAAAGCATCTTAAGTCCATAAGTTCCTTTATTAGTTTCCTAAAAAAGCATAAATAACACAATTATTATATACGTATTAAAAATATAAGGTTCACTCTGCCACTTATTGTATGTCACGTAATGAAGTAGCAAGAATAGGTTTGGCCACCTTTGAGATCTATGGTATAAAGGGGATACCCAGGTATCAGTGAGGGACTGGCTCAAAGGCCCCTTCTGCTGTTGCTGCTTAGGCTCATCAAGATGAAGAATGATAACACCACCCAAACCAGTGTCTGTCCTGGTGTCCTTCAACCAACAGGGTAACAGAGACGAAAGGTTTAGGGGTCTTTTTTGAAACAAGAGTTGAAGGCAAATTCAGTAATATAGTACCCAAATATTTAAAACCCGTCAATATAATTTCTAACATCTCAAACATTTCATTCTTTGATAAATTCATAAATCATTCCTTTACATTTTTCTGGAGAGAGTTCTGGCTTTAATTAGCTTATCAAAGGGGTCTGAGACGTTCCCCTCCCCATTAAAAACAACTTAATAACTATGCTCCTGTAGCAACTACCTTTGGAAGGGAAACTCAATAAACATTTTTTCCCGTTGAGAAACATTTGGTTGTGTCCAGGGCTCTATTGATTTTAGATCAATGCTATCCTATCAAGACATTTCTTTTGTACACTAAATTCTCAAATTATTCCTCAATTTCATGTTTGACTGCCTCCCAGAAAAGGCTGGTCATTAAAGGGACTTGAAGATCTGCTGCTTCAGCCTCAGGCCTCCCATAATTGACATGGGGCCTCGTTTCTGTTGAAACATATTAGAAACAGTGCTTGAGGGGCTTCTTGTTAGGTAAAGATTCATTCTAGTCTTTATTTTCCTTCCATGATTGAATTTTCAGGTCTTTCTCTCTGAACCATTCTTTTGTAAGTTTCTTAAACTCTTTGGAGGTGTGTATCATGAAAGCCTAGATTATCACATTTTTCCCCTGGAGATGTAGCAAAGCTCTTTTTCAGCATTATTAGTGTAAACAAAATTTTTTGGCAAAATCAGAACTTCCTGAAATACTCTAGTTATTCGATGTTTACCTTCATACTCAGCTTTAATCCTCAGAGTTTCATCTGGTCCTTTATGAGCAGATGTTACCCGAAGTTCACATGGAATGCCAAAGTTTCCACAAGC